GAGAGTCAAATTAACCCCTTTTCTGCATGCTGCTCCCTAACTAGTTGTTCCCTATCCTGTATCTGTGCCTTCCTTTCTTATCTACATGAGAACTTACATTTTTTCTAATTAAATTTTCCCCTACATGTTAACTTTCTACTGCTCTCTGAAAATACAATATATTTAACTTGCCAGCACTCTGCGGTGGAGGAAGACAGCTATATTTACTATGATGAAATGACTGTTGGATATCTTATTGCCTTACGGGAAGAATCTCACTATATTCAAAACATAGAGAATCACAAACAGAGAGTGAGGTGAGGGAAGTGGCCAATCTCTGTAAACATAAAAGGGAAGTACCTGCAGGACTCAGTCTGCAAACACTTGTGTTTCATCATCTGAGTTTATTCCTAGGTAATGAAATGCTGGCTAAGATCAGTCTGGTTATAGACTGAAGAAGAACGATGAAGGTCTGGACCACGAACAGTACTGCAGCACAGACTACTGGCACCTGGCCTGCCATGAAGGCTTAACCAAGGCTTCTGAGGACCCAGCATGAGACAAGAAAAACTGATGATCCAGAGACAACATTTTTTATGTGCTTGTTTGTACCAGAGCACTGATTATCTGAGATTTTGAACTCTTGGCAAATGGATAGTAAACACTGGGATACCAAAGTCTACTGACAATCTGGAGTAGTGCAGGAAGTCAGCTCCAAAAACGTAAAGGCTTTTTGGTAAATACTAGCTGGTCAGAGCAGGAGACAGAGAGTGCAAACACAGAAGATGGAAAAGCTGTGCCAGGGCAGGGAGCGATTGACTTCCACGCGCCAGATTTGTTTCCGCTGTGCAGCCAATGTGACATGAACAAAGCAGATGAATTATCTGACTAATAACGTATAGAAGTTTCCATTGGACAAAGGAAACTGGTAGTGATGAGTGGGTGACAAAACGACAAGCCAGTTTGAATAATGGCTGTAACCATTTGGATCACTTCACTAACTATTCATCTAAGCAGTAGGACTCTAGGCAAAACTGTCTTCGCCGCTGCAGAGAGCAGAAGAGAAATGATTTTCCATTGTAGGCAGTAGATGAAACATAGTGAAGCAAGAATCAGAGCAGAGCTCTTTGGTGGAGTTGTTTGAGGATGGCCCTGTTTTGTTTAAAACAGAAACAAAAAAATGTGGACAGGAACTCAGGAGCAGTAAGATTAGGGGCTTGGGAACTGTGCAATCAAACCTTAGCCCTGCACACCTCAGCAGAAAAGCATGGGCTTTTGGAAAAATTGCTGTAGGACTGGGTGACCTGTAGCTCACACGGGTCTCACAGAGACATGTGAAAAGATGCTGAGCACCAAAGTCATCTACTGGGCAGTTAGTAGTGATATGGCTCTGATGTCAGACTCCAGGGCAGCTTGCCAGAAAGAGTTTATTGGCTGTTGAAAAAAGTACTAAGTATCTCATTGCATGGGGGTTGGAAACACAGGGAGGGGGGTTATTCAGAGGACCTCTACAAAAGTCACTAAAAGTAGCAGAGGTTGGTCTGAATTCCGTTTTTGTCAGAAGTACATGGCGGAGTACTAACAGATACTTAAGAAATGTCACTGGATGCAAGCTGTAAAATATGAGCAAGAACCGGTTTGCATCTAAGCTGAAAAAAAAAAAAAAAACAACCCCAGAAGCAGCTGGCTAAATGCCAGGGACAACTAAAGGTCAAACTGGAGTTGAAGTCCTTCTCAAAAGGAGAAAATTGGGAAGTCGGACGGAAAGTTAGTACGTCTGGAAACAGAAGCGGCAGTCCTGCAAAATCCTTCAGAGTTAGAATCAGTCCAAATGATGTCTGTGCAAAAAGAACAAAGAAAGGAGCCATTCGAAACTGACTTCAAATAAGATCCACTCTGCTGTAGATAAAAAACACCTGGAAAGTAAAGCTACTACGGAGTTTCAGAAGTGGGTATGAACAGGAGTACCAATTCTGGGGGTTGAGTTTTATCGGTATTCTGTGAGACCCCTCTGCAAAGACAACTTTGAAATACTGCACACTTTGGATTGACACCTTTATTGACAAGAATAGATTATTGTGAGGCCATAGCAAGCTTCCTAGTGAGAGCTGAATGGGCATTACCCCCTTCCTCCACCAGCTGGCAAGCTTAAATAAAGTTCCTCTACTGCAAGCCTTATCTGGAGGTTAGTGGAGGGAGCAGTACCGAAGGGCAATTTTCCCTTTCAGGGGAAAGACATCCCCCTGTACTTGCGAAGCAGCTGAGTGACAGCAGCAGTGGGGCTGCGCTATCCAGGTAGATCCCACCGGCATGTCTTCCCTTCAGTCAGGAAAGGAAAAATACTGAGCTGTCAGAACAGACTGCCTTTTGGGGCAGGGCTGGTGGAGCGGGGAAAGAGCTATTTGAGCCATTTCACAGGGAGTGCTGGGCTCTGAACTAAGGGAACGGGCTGGTGCTGGTTCTCTTCCAGGCTTAAGGAACGGGTCACTGCCGCCTGTCAAGAGGCTGAGAGCTACCCTTTTAAATAGCCCCCACGTTCCTCCTCTGACAGGGCTGCACTATGGTGGCTACAGCTGATGTTTGGTAAAATGCATAGGGATCTTTTGGGAAGGGAACCAGATATATAATCATATTAAGCAATGCAGCATAGAGCTATGGTATTGTGCGCACACTTTCAGTGGTGGTAACGCAAAGAAGCATATTTTAGAATTGCGCAAGCCCCATGCTAAAAATCATCTGAGGAGCTGTTTAATTAAAAACACCCAAGAGGGTATTTCTAAGAGCAAAGGAGCTGTCTGTTTAAACCTGCGTTCCCTCTTTCTGCTCCTCTGCAGGACATGTGTCTGTGGTTCCTACACTGATTTAAGGAAGTTTAACCCAGAAAAATGGTGTAGGGTCACCGGGCAGCACAGATGGCGGTACAGCTGTAAACCGAAGGACAGCATCAATTTGTTGCAGTGAATGATAAGGAGAAAGCCTGAGGGGCGAGTGACCTATCCATTAACCCAGCAGCACCGAAATACCTGAGATGCCAGTTCCAGTCGCCTGGAACGGCAGCGTCAAACACACGAGCGGAAAAAACCCGCCTGCCCTTCCACTCAGGAGCCTCTCAAGGCCAGCAACGCAGAGACAAACTTCTGCCAGGACGGCTCAGCGCTGGCTCTGGCCGCCCCGGAAGAAGGGCCAAGAGGACTTCACTAGCTGGGTTTTCTGCCCGTCCCAAGCCCCCTCCTCCCGCTCTGTAGGCAGGAGGAAACGTTGTTCACGGCAACAGGCTGTAGGCACCTCTCGACCCGGCCCTGCCCCGCGGCGCCCAGAACCAAACCTCCCCTCACCAC